TTCGGTCTTGTGTTGCTACTTTCAGCTCTTGGTAAATCTTTTTCCATTTTTAGCTTTTAGATACTGTTTTGCAGATTTTGTATTTTGATATTCTAGATATTTGCTACTATTTGCTAATTTTACCATTAGCCTTGCATTTCTTATTTTAGGTTTTAGCAACAAATTAGCTTTTTTTTTAATTTAGCTGTTGCTTTGCTAATTCTAGCTTTCTGTTTTGGTTTTGTTTTAGCATTTTGCTCTATTGCTATTTTAAACTTTATATTAATGTTTTGCTAGACTTAGCTTTTAGCTACTGTTTTTCTCATTTTAGCTTACTGTATATCGACTGATTTAGCAGATAAACTGCAGATTTAAGCTATACTTTTCCCTTTTTAGTGACAGCATTGTTAGTTTCAGGATTTAGCTAGGGTTTTGTTAAATTTAGCTTTTTGATGTTTTGCTTAATATTTTTCAGCTACGTTTTTTTTAAATTTCTAATCCTTAGCAATGATTTTTCTAATTATAGCTCTTCGTTTCGATTTTGCTTAGCCTAGCTTTTAGATGCAAATTTAACTATTAGATACCATTTTGTTCATTTTAAACCTGATCAGTTTTGTGAACTTTTTCACATTAGACCAAAATTGAAACAATGATGAAACTTACCTCATATGTGTAATTTGGACAGGAGACCAACCAAAAAATCCATGTGAATGGATTTTTTGTTGGATAAGGAATCTTCTTGACTTTTGAACCTGAAACAGTTAGCAACCTCAATTCAAACAGAATGCTGCTCTTTACATTTAGCAACAAAAATGTAAAAAGATTAATTTTATTTGTGCATTATAACACTCACCGGGTGGTTTGAGGTTTCGCAGTGCAACRTGGATCGAAAAATTCCCTATTTGACAGAACTACAAGAAGCAAAACAAAGCATCAAAGCTGAGCACAAACCAAACTTACAGTCTATCAATAAGCCTGAAACTTACCAGGAAGATATAAAGACCTGTGTTCACCTGCTGCTGCTCGTAAACTGTTGACATTTTAAAGAGAAATCACTTAAGATTTCAACTCTGAGCGATGAGCAAAAGCAAATATTGCAGCAGTCAGCACTTACAGGGAGTTGTGTAGAGAGGATGGTTGATGTAATATGCCATCCACGCTGCAGAGCACCAGTAATAACCACAGTTCTGAAACAGAAATTGAAGGTATAATAAGTCAAAGTGTCTGGATGCGGCTCCAAACACAAAGTGATTTGTCGTTGGAGTGTGCRAAAACGGAAAAGCGAGCGGCACCTTGAATATGTTTCTGAGAGGCATGGTCCCGTGGGAGATACGGTGGACAAACAACGTCTCCAGAATCCTCTTGATGTAGTGGAAGGAGTGACACATGCAGGCCAAACTGCAGCCAAACACACGCACAAATACACACTTGCATTTTTTTAGTTGAGAATTATTTGTTGTCTTGATGTGGTCCATCACGTTTACCCAAGACTGAGTGTCAACAGAGCAGAACGAGGCACGACTGTTTATCATTTGTGTGTGTGTGTGTGTGTGTGTGTGTGCATGTGTGTGAGTGAAATATGCAAGCTGACACTCACTGTACAACCCAGTGCTTGCTGCTGGTGAAGTCATATTTTGGAGAATAGATGAAAGGAAGGCGGAAGTAGAACATTAGGTAAAGAATCAGYGGACCAAGACATTCAGCAAGAAACACCTGAAATGAGAAATTAATTTCTCTGATGTGAAAAAAACTTATAATAACATGTAAAAGAGAGCAGAAATTGAAATAAAATTCAAATCATTGAAATTGTTGTTGAATAAAAACCCATTCATCAGTGAAAGTAGTCCAACCAGCTGACAGTTTGGGGGTTCGTGTCTGTTTAAAGCCTCAGCAGGAAGAAGACACAGCGTCCACCTGACACCAGCAGCTCCTTTTACTTTGTCACCTTCGTGCCAAAACCGTCGCTCTATTTCTGCTGGGCACATTCGAAGTAAGGATAAAACTGTTCGGCTGTGTCCAGAAATAAAATGAGACATTTTGTGTGAATGCTGACTCAGCGATCGCACAATTTCTTTTGCCTGTTTATAGATTTTTCCATCTGTTTTGAACCTATTTCTTCATATTTTGTACTTTTTAAGCTCTTTACACATCAAAACGTTGGACTCAGTTTGGAATACAATGATTTCTCGTATATCTGACATTACTTTTTTTGCATTTATGGTGCTGATTATTTGGGCTTTTCGCTGCTATTTAGCTTTTAGCTTCTTGTTTAGGTCCTTTCAGCTACTGTTTGGCTCTTTTTTTCTGCTTGTTATGACTTTAGCTATTTCATTTCACATTTTCAGTAGCCACTCATCATTCACACTGCATTTTCACAGAAAAATAGATGATTTTTTTCTGTAGTTACAATATGATTAAATCAGCTGAGTCCTGAATCCGTACGTCCAACAGAACCTTGGCTCAGGAAGCCCRACTTGTCACCTACTGCTTCTCCAGCCACACTAAAGCCAATGAGGGTGCTGGGGGTTGTGTCAGGGTTAGTCAGGACGTCGGGTGGAGAGACCGTGTGGCTGAGGGGTGGGAATAAAGAGGCCCAGTGAGAGGTCAGGGGGATAAACACCTTTGGGAGAAATGAGGCCATGAGATTATATGTCCTGGCAGAGAGGACAGGCAGCACGGGAGGTGGAGAAAGGTGGCCGGYTGACACTGAATCACCTCTACCTGTCACTGAGGAATGGTATTTATACTCGGAAGCTTTTACGTGAGCGAGAAACTTTCTCTTTAGATTTGAAGCACAAGAACGGCAGAAGTGGGTTAGTATGCTTCAGAATATGAAGTGCACGTCGGTGCTGTTTCTTTAGCTGATTGAACGTTTCTGTAAAACAGTTCAGTCATAACTTCTAACCCTTTCTAATTAAAAAGCTATTTAAAAAAACACAACTTGATGTGATTCCACTGCATGCTAGGCGTCGGCGTGGACTCACTGTCCCCCAGGTGAGCTGGGGTCCCAGGTCGCTGAAGTAGAAGCTGGCTGTGGTTCCAACAGGAAGTGTTTGGAGAACTTCCTCATCCCTGAGACACTTGGCCTCTGAGAGACACAACAGTCACACACCGTCACATCATTTCCTTTGTAAAAACAACTAATCTGGATAAACGAAGTTAAAAAAAAATGAATATGCATGCAGATGTACTTGGATCCAAACGCAGAGACTGTCTAGCAGGATACCACTTTGGATCTGTTAAAAAATACATCAAAAAAACAGTGAAACGTTACTCTTTGTGTTCTAAAGAGATCATCTATGTAGGTTCATGCTGACGTTTTTCTTAAATTTTTTTACACACTGTTTGGGCCAAAGATGCGTCAAGTCCCAACAAAAATGGATCTGAACTTACATGAYTTGTGAAACAAAGCTTTAATATCCAAAACAGTTGATGTCGGTTCCACCTGCAATTTAAAGGTCCGTCGTGAACAAATATGCTTACCGTGCTTTAAAATGAACATTCATCTCCCCATCAACACTGTTTTATTTATTTATTTGCTTCTTTAGGGCTTTCTCATGCTTGTAGTTTTTTCCCCTCTTTTTAGCTCAACATGATTTAACATGTCACAGTCACAACTCTACACATCTATACAAGCTGCTAATCCTGTTCATCTGTCTCTACGATGTGCAGTGCAGGCGTGTGCTGAAGCTCAATCAGATAATTCCYGTCAGAGGAAAGGGGAATTTTCACCTCTTAACTGTGACCCTTGCTAAAAAAAAAAAGAAAATACACACAACTCAGTCACAGAGCACATACTTTTGGATAATTATTTTTGAAAATTCTTGTTTTTTTTCCTTTCATTTCTATCATTTTTTGAACTAAAGCTCCTGTCCTAACCTAACCATAATGTCTTAAATTAAAATGAGAGTCAGAGTAAAAGCTGAGTGGGAGARCGTTCATCACACACCTTGTCCAGCAGCAGCAGCTTCTCTTTAGTCTTCAAGTCCACAATCTCCACCTCAAAATAAACGATCCTTTTAGCCTTTTTCTGAGGTTTTGGCTTCGGCCTGGGTGCTGGCTTCTTCTCGGGTTCGGCTCCATTTGTTTTCTTCGCCTCTAAGGCCAGTAAATCCATGACACGGCTTGATCCCAAACCTCAGCAGCTTTGTGAAGGAGTCGGTGATAGTCCAGTCGGTTTGTCTTCTGCTGGTAAAGGAGGAGCAGCCTCACCTATACAGTTTATCAGGAAAAAGAATGATCCCTCTTCCAGAAATTGGGGGCAGATTTGTGAGAAAAAAGTGAAGTTGGAAAGAGTTTTTAAATCCAAGCCGATCTGATTGTGAGACCATGCAGCAGGCCTGCTCATCACCTGAAAGCCTGTTGGAGATCCACAACCCCCCAACTTCATGCACTGAAGACGAAACTGGAGAGCCCCAAGACATAATCCGTAGTGCGCCACTTGCAAGGCTAAATATAAGTTCCCTGATTCGCTCAGCAGCAGCAGCTTGGTAACCTCATGAAGCCTCATGCAGCTCAGTGACAGATGCCAATATGATCCCATTAGACGGGAAGACTCACCTCCTCTCTGCTTCAACTGGTCCCCAATAAAAACCCGATCCACCCAGTGARAGATCTCTGCATGCAAACACACCCTCCCTTCCTGCAGATCACATGCGAGGCTGATATTCTCGTCTCCTATAAACTACAGATCACAAATATTCATATTCATCTCAGAGTCTGCACAGTTCAATGCATTTCTGCTCTAAAAGACTTCAATAAAGCTTTGCAGAGGGAAGGAAATGCTGACTGGGAGAAGATCAGAGATACCTTTCATCACACTGGGTCAGTGCATCATCTCACATAGCCAACTGCATATCTCTATTCAATGAGCTATTTATAACAGGTTTGAGCTGTACACGCAGGCAGTAAACAGCCGTATGAAGTATTCTAAGATCATATTTGAGTTTTAGATGAAAAACATTCCTGTTAAACCTCATCTAGCTTACAAATTCACGACCAGCAAACATGAAAGAGTTAAAATAACATCAAATATGTGAGGGGAGGTGATTCGTTGTGACACACMGACCTCTGATCTGCTGGATCTCGTTTCTTTTCAAGATCTGATGCCACAATTTATTTCCCCCCAGAATTTGCAATATGTGTAATGCAACTCTTAAATAAAACAAATCAGTTTTATTTGAGGCAGATTTTATAGTATGTTTTCAAAACAAGTGAGAATTTTCTTTTATTTTGAAGTTTTACAATTTACTTGGATGGAAGCGTGATTAAAATTACTTTTGTTTCAGCTTATACACCGCTGCTACTTGTGTAAGGAAAATATTTGATTTAAAAAATACTTTCTATAAGATAAACAACACAAGGTTATTCAGAGGGGAGTAAACATTCCCGCCATGGACGACCTCTTCCGCTTTGTCATCGGTTTCGCGAACGAAACCGGAAGTTACTGGGAGGGAATCCTCTCGTCTCTGTGGTGACGACCTACATTTATCAGCTGCACGAGCTTCTTCCAGAAGTTTCTCTACCCGGCTTCTTTCCTGCGCGGCTGTCGCACGAAACGGAGGACAGTTTGTTCTTTTGTTGATTTATTTTTAAACAATTCGTTTTTAATTATTTTCCCTTTTTGCCATCGTTTAGACTCAAAAGTTTATTTCACGGACTGTCACAATTTGGATAGAAATTGTTTGATTGAAGGCGGCGAAGCAAAAAGAAACTACTGGATATCTGCTCTGGAGAAATGGTTTTATAAAAAAAAAGGGGGTAATTAAAAAAAGGCAGGAGGAGTGATGGGTAAAGATTATTACAGTGTGCTCGGGATATCCAGAGGTGCGTCCGAAGAGGAGATAAARAAGGCGTACAGAAAACAGGCTCTCCGCTTTCACCCGGACAAAAACAAGTCGCCCAAAGCTGAAGACAAATTCAAGGAGGTGGCTGAAGCTTATGATGTCCTCAGCGATGCCAAGAAAAGGGACATTTACGACCGATACGGAGAGGAAGGTACCTGAACTGCTCACACAACTTGTTAGTCTGTTGYACGACAATCTGGAGTGGATTGTGTTTCACATTCTGTCAAAATCTGTTGCAAACGTGAGGCTGATGTTGTGTCCCAGGTGAGCTTAGAGCAGGTGAGGCTGCTGGAAGCCACCAGCTCACTGCTTTCAGGTCATAAAACACACAAATTTACTGCCTGAGGTTTGTTGTGACCCCAGTAAGACCCTCTCCTCGTCTGATAGTTCATTAGGTCATAAACATTTCTTTAACAGCAGCTGTACTGGTCACCAGTCTTGTCCTSTTGTGGTTTTATTTCACAAAGTCCTGAAGCATTTATCAGACAAATTACTAAGAGTCGTGACAGGTTAATTGAGGGGTAGAAAAATATATTTTTTTAAATTTTCATCAAGAAAACAACACAGCTCTGAAGGTATCATAGTGTTTTTTAAATGTAAAGTAATACATAATACAGACAGTACATAGAAGACCTGGTACTAACTGGAACCCCAGCTGTATTATTGGGATAAACATTATTAACAACCTCACAATTTGTTGTTTAAATGCTTCGTTGTCGATTTCCTTTTACTAAAAATACACAAATAATGCACGGAGTCCCTGTGGATAATTTGTACAGATTTATTTTCTTGCCCATATAACAAGTAATAGTATACTTAACATTTTTGACAGTTAAAATATCGGTAAATAATATAATTGCGCAATAATACTTGTGCTAAACATGGAGATCCAACATAAGACCAAATTTAATTTAATTTTTTTAACCAAATTTCCCTCTGGGATCAATAAAGTTATTTTTGAATTGAATTGAAGACAATCATAAAACATGATAAACTGCAGGAGAGCAAATCAATTCAGAGGATTTTCTGATGTGATAATGAATTGGGAAATATGCAAACATACTTACTATGAAATGACTTGTTACCCTGTACTTACATACTGCTATAAGAATTATTAGCTGTAAACGAAGGTGTACCTCATGGGCCTGTGTCTGTACTTTTTAAGTTATTTATAAAACATGATTTCTTAAAGTTAATGGGTAAAATTCTTAATGATTTTTGTTACTCTTCGTGTTTCCCCTCAGATCATTGATGATTTTGTGTTATTTCCTACAGGATTAAAGGGTTCTGCTGAGGGTGGAGGACCCACCGGTCGGCCCACTTTTAACTACACCTTCAGCGGAGACCCTCACGCCATTTTCGCCGAGTTCTTCGGAGGCCGCAGCCCCTTTGATCACTTCTTCCCGACGGCTGGGGATGAGTTCGATCCCAACGACCCCTTCGGTGCGTTCGGCATGGGCGGGATGGGCGGCGTGGGCGGGTTTCACCAAGCTTTCAAACCCCACCCCGGCGGTCCTCTCAGGGCGCACGAGAAGAGGCAGGACCCCGCTGTGGTGCACGAGCTGAACGTGAGCCTGGAGGAGGTTTTCTCCGGCTGCACGAAGAAGATGAAGATTTCCCGCAAGAGGCTGAACCCCGACGGCTGCACCATCCGCAGCGAAGACAAGATTCTAACGGTGAACATCAAACGCGGCTGGAAGGAGGGCACCAAGATCACGTTCCCCAAGGAGGGCGACGAAACTCCCACCAACATCCCCGCCGACGTGGTGTTCGTGGTCAAAGACAAACCCCACCCCGTGTTCAGAAGAGAGGGATCAGATATCGTTTATCCTGCAAAAATCACACTCCGAGAAGTGAGGGCGCCTCAGATCGTCATTTTTTATCAACAACTAAACGATTGTCTAAGTTTAAATGTTTTTTTCTTCTTTCTGTTTTGGTGTTCCTCTCCAGGCGTTGTGTGGATGCACAGTCAAAGCCCCCACTCTGGATGGCCGGACCATCACCGTGACGTCCAGAGAGGTGCTCAAACCCGGRACGAAGAAGCGCATCGTCGGAGAGGGGCTTCCTCTGTCCAAATATCCCGAGAAGAGAGGCGACATGATTTTGGACTTCAGCGTTCGATTCCCAGAGAAACTGGGTCAGAACACACGAGACGCACTCGAACAGATACTTCCCGTGTGACCGCGGGTCGAACGCAACGTCAGAGGAGTCGACGTTTCCCGCGACGCCGCCGCGGCTCGGCCTCGCTGGCAGAGCGGCCGTCATTCCAGCTGAGGCGCTTATTAAAGCTGCTCTGTGTGAAGGAGAGAGTCGAACAAAAAAAAAAGATGTTTTCTTTAGTTTTTAAAAAAGTTCAAGTTGAACAACTTGGAGGTTTGATTTTTGCGATGATCTAGTTTAATAGCTGCGTATGCTTTGAGGCGACTACCTAATGCCACATGCGGACTGACGAATGCTGGCGTGTAAACGCATTCAGGTGGTTTTAATGTGGCGCCTGAGTGAAAACATGGCAGGTGGCTGCGCCTAAACTTACCTGCTTCAAAATAGCAGCATTAAACAGACTTTTCTTAATGGCTTCGTAACTCAACTTCATCGTTTCAAACATTGAAACTGCTCATTTTTAATGCTGCAGGGTCAAAGTKCTGGGAAAATACACCTGAAGTTGTCTAAAGCTGCAACACTAACAGGTGTTTGGATACCCAGAGGAGGAGAGTTGAAGCTGAGGGGCGGGGTCTTATATGAACACTATGTTCAAAGTCTATAAATACTGGAAACTCAGATCAATGAAATGTTTAAAAAGGGTACATGTCAAAATTGTTTATTTTTATAGAGACGTTTTTGATTTTATTTTAGTTTGAAACCTTTTTGTGCCATACAGTTGTCCCGGTGACATTAAAATATGTGTGCTTCCAAAAGTACCACAAGTCTTCTGTAATTATTCAATTTATTGATATACTCCATTAAAATGTATAATGTATAGAAATATCTTGCATGTGATGATTTGAATCCTATTTTTATTGGCCAAGTTAAACTAGAAGACCTTTTTTGTAACRCTTGTACAAATTTGGTGATATCTAAATATTAAAACTTAGAAGAGAGAAAAAAAACTTTTGTTTTAAAGGCCTGAATCTACTTCCTTTATTTTGTATTGTTCAAGAACAGCATTCATTCCTAGATTTCCACTCTTAAGATTAGTCTCACATTAGTTTGTATGTATACTAACAACTTGTTGGACTGTTTTACAGGTGTAAATATGAATATAAAAGTTGTTTAATCAGGAAGTCATTTTATTTTCAGCGGTAACCCGCTGCTTCATTCTGCTTCTCTAAAGAGGAAGAGCTGAATTATCTTTTTTTATTTTAATGCAAAAACGCTGCTGACTCAATTTTTTCTTTCCTTTTTAAAAGGAAACAATTATGTTGTATGTTCTGTTTGTATTTTACTGTTTACTGTTGACCTTACCAACAAAGTTGTTAAAATGTTGGATAGACTTTGTAGTTTGCTCAGCTGGAATGATCTACATTTGCACATTAAAATTTTTTTTTTGAAAACACTCTCGGCTACCGTACTTGTCTGCATCAGTAATTGTTACAATAACGTATAATAATAACGTTAACTTTATCAAATTAACTTTTTTTCAGTGTTTTCCTGTTTCCAGAAAATGGGCCTAAATTAACACATTTGAAATCTTGGCAGTGGCTTGTTTGTTGTTGTAATTCAGCCTGACCGCCAGATGGCAGGAGTGAGCCTTAAGCATTAATACACAAAAAATAAAAACGCTCTTTATAACAATCATACAGAATAAGTAATGGTGTTTATTGAAAATAYAGGAAAGGTTTTCTATTTTTACATCAGTGAAAACACTTATTTATTCAGTTAAATAACTGAAAATGAAAAGTTTCTAGCTTTAAAGCTAATACTGATTTTCTGTACATTAAAGGAAAAAACAAACAAAAGTATTTTTTAATTGCCAAAATGAAAATATTCATACCATTTTTTTTATATATGGCGAAAAGTTTGACAAAAACAGATACTAGTACGTTTTTTTTTTCCGGAAGTACTCAAATGTTAGTTTGACTTGAATCTATTACGTTGCCATTTCAACCAACAACCGCTAGAGGGCAGTAAAACACAAATAAAAATGCAGCGGGTCTAAGCCATTATGGGTTCAGTGTTGTCTCTTTCAAAAAGACTAAAAATACATTTTTGGTAGGAAGAAAAAAAAATCAATCTGACTTTTTTACAAGGGTACGAACAGCTACCATTATTTGGTTTGTGGCCACATGGGGAGTTTAAATAAAACAATTGACAATATGTCGTTTTGCATAAAGCCCTCCCTCCAAAACATAAAAAAAAAAATTTTAGTTGTTATGTAAACACGTTACTATAAAACAAAACAAACAATAAAAAATAGCTTGGTTTTAGAAAAAAATGCCTAAATAACCAGATTTATTATTCACAGTTTCATATTTTCCTGCGCTGAAGTAGAAAATTTCCGAGGGTACGTGAAGGCACCATTGTTCCACCCTGCCTTCCTGGCTGGCTCAAAGCTAAAAAATCTGCAACGACATACCGACACACACACACAAGCACGCACTGTAACTATTTACCGATCTAATCTAATCAGGGTAACTAAATGTGCCAGAAAAAAACGGAGTAATAAAAACGCTAAACTTTATTAATAGTAAACACATTATTTTCCGACAGCTAACGCCAGAGCTGTTAGCAGGTTGAGCTAACACACACAGGAAGGAGCTGAAAGTCTTTACTCCGGGGTAAGAAATAACCAGCCTGCCATGTTTTTTTTTTCTCGTTTACAGTCCTGTTGAACGATCGTGCTAATTAACCTGAAGATTTCAGGGATGTYAACATAGCGATGACACTGACGCTGTTTTGAGTTAGCTACTTTAAATGCTGTCAGCGTTTGTTACGCAAGTGAAAACACAGCTAGCAKCTAATGTTACCTTTGACTAACGCACTGATTGTCCAGGCTGTACTTTGAAGTTAGAYAAGTGGCTAGTTTCACATGTTAGGAGAATATAATCTCAGATTTAGCAGCAGGTTTGGTGTTTCCTCATAAAGCAGCACAACTTGTTTTAGATTCCTTTGGTTTAAATGAATGTAATTGACCTGAGTTCTGGTTTCTGTCTTGTAGATGAGCTCCTTCCTCCTCAGACTGCTGGACTTGACAGATCCAGCTATGTGAGCTGCTCTGATGAGTGGACTCTTGAATCGACACAGCGCCTGGCTGAGACGGCTTTTCGGCTGGTCGACACATCCAAACTGTCCAAACCCTGATCAGGTCTGCGGCTGATTCAGCTGGACAGGTTTATGTTGGTCTGGATTGCGGCGTAACTCCCTCGAGCGGCGTCAGCCATGCCACTGGGACTGGGAAGAAGGAAGAAAGCGTCCCCTTTAGTGGAGAACGAGGAAGCGGAGCCCATTCGCGCAGGCCTCAATGTGCCAGGTGTGGAGGGCCTGGATGGAGGAGTCCTGGGGCTGGGGGAAGCGGCCGCCTCGGAGGGCCTTCCTCCCCCTCCAAACAACATGAGACCTCGGCTCATCTTCCACACCCAGCTCGCTCACGGGAGCCCCACYGGCCGCATCGAGGGCTTCAGTAACGTCAGGGAACTTTACGCCAAGATTGGGGAGGCTTTCGGGATACCACCGTCYGAGGTGAGCCTTCCTCCTCTTCCTTCTTGGTGAACGTGAAAGTTTTCTGTACTTTAAAGGCGTTGTCCCCTGCAGGTTATGTTTTGCACGCTGAACACTCACAAGGTGGACATGGATAAACTGCTGGGAGGTCAGATCGGGTTGGAGGATTTCATTTTTGCCCACATTAAAGGTCAGAAGAAAGAAATCGAAGTGTTCAAAGGAGAAGAYGCTCTGGGGTTGACAATCACTGATAATGGAGCCGGCTACGCTTTCATTAAGGTGACGACAGCAACAAGCACCGATTCATTAGCTACTGTGTGTATTAGCTGACCGAAATGAAGCGTGAGCATCTTTTTGYTGTGTAAATGTCAACACTTGTGCTGCTTTTCAGAGAATCCGTGAGGGGAGCATCATTCACCAAATCCAGGTTATTAATGTGGGCGACATGATCAAGTCGATCAACGGTCATCGGCTCATCGGCTGTCGACACTATGAAGTTGCCAAAATGCTGAAGGAGCTTCCCAAAGGGAGAATGTTTACCATTAAGCTGGTGGAGCCCCTCAAAGCCTTTGGTAATTGAGCTACGACCCCTTTTAACAGTTTTACTGGCTTCTGTGGTTCCCAGAGTTGATGCTGATTATCTGAGGTCTGGTTTTAAAAACAGGGGGGAAAATCCGTACAGTGTGTACATTACTTTAATTAAGTAATAAAAGGCTAGCTAAAAGAATCAAAACATTAGCTAATAACCAGGATAAGAAAACTCAAGCCAAAAGCTAAAAGGCTAACTAAAGGTAGCTTAAGACTAATATAAAATAGCAAATGTCTAACTGAAAGCAGCTGACAGTCAGCTAAAAGTAACAAAATGATAACTAAAAGAGACAAATTCTACTTTAAAGTTAAAAAAGGCTAGCAAAGGTGCTAGATAAGCTAAAAAGTTGACGTGCTGAAAAGCTTGCAAAAAAGTTTAAAGTAGCAAAACACTGGCTAAATGCTAAAAGTCCTAAAGTATTAACTAAAAGCTGAAATTGGTTACAAAAGCATACCTAACATTACATTTAATTAACAAGGCTAGCTAAAAGAATCAAAACATTAGCTAATAACCAAGATAAGAAAACTCAAGCCAAAAGCTAAAAGATTAGCTAAAGGTAGCTTAAGACTAATCTAAAATAGTAAATATCTAACTGAAAGTAGCTGACAGTCAGCTAAAAGTAACAAAATGATAACTAAAAGAGACATTCTACTTTAAAGTTAAAAAAGGCTAGCAAAGGTGCTAGACTAGCTAAAAAGTTGACGTGTTGAAAGGCTTGCAAAAGGTTTAAAGTAGCAAAACACTGGCTAAATGCTAAATTTCCTAAAGTATTAACTAAAAGCTGAAATTGGTTACAAAAGCATACCTAACATTACATTTAATTAACAAGGCTAGCTAAAAGAATCAAAACATTGGCTATGAAACAATACAAGAAATCTCTATCCAAAAGCTAAAACGCTAGCTAAAGGCTGCAAAAGACTAGCTAAAATAGCAAAGGCTGACTGAAGATAGCTGACAGCTAGCTAAAAGTAACAAAATGCTACCTAAAAGAGAAAAGTAGATAAATACTACCTTAAAGCTAACAAAGGTGTTACACTAGTTAAAAACTAGATGTATTGAAAGTGTTGCAAAACACTGGCTAAATACTAAAAGCTAAAATTAGTTACAAAGGGAAATCTAAAAACTACAAACACGTCAAGTTAAAAGTATCAAAATGCTGGCTAAAATGTAATAGTTATAAAAAGACAAACATAAATTAGTAATTTTTGAAACTAAAAGTTTCAAAATCTAAAAGTCACATTGTGCATTTCCTGAGTGAGGCGAATGTTCCATCCAAAAAAAATTAATAAAAGGTTTTCATTTATAAATGGCTAAAAAAGCAAAAAGAGTGCTGAAGTAGTTAGATTGTAAAAAGCGAATAGAAAAATTAAAAAGGGGTAACGTTACTGAATGCAGAYTCATAAATCAAATAACTGCTTGTAAAAGCATCACGTCGGCCCAAACAAATAGAATTTTCTGCCAGAAGCATAACGGCGTGACACGACTGTTTTCAGATGGAAAGTTTTACTTTTAGACTTTCAATTGGGCGTGGAATGCTTACACCAAACACGTTTGTCTGTTTTGTGTAGACATGATCAGTCAGAGGTCAGGAGGTTCCAGGTCGGCCTCGGGGGTTCAGCTGGGGACGGGCAGAGGGACCCTTCGTCTGCGCTCCAAAGGTCCTGCCACGGTAGAGGAGCTGGTGAGYGTTCTGTGGACCGGCGACTAGTTTTTCTGTTTTCAAATCAAATCTGTGGCCTCGCTTGAAGATGCGTGTTTGGATTTGTTCTTCCAGCCTTCTGCGTTTGAGGAAAAAGCCATCGAGAAGGTGGATGACCTGCTGGAGAGCTACATGGGCATTCGAGACAGTGAACTGGGTAAGTCGGTCGCCAGCTGCTGGGGTTTGCCGTGTGGAGGGTGGGCTTTAATAAAAGCTTCTCCGTGTCTTCAGCGGCCACCATGGTGGAGCTGGGCAAAGACAAGAAGAACCCAGATGAGTTCGCCGAAGCTTTAGACGAGACTCTGGGAGATTTCGCCTTCCCGGACGAGTTTGTTTTCGACGTCTGGGGCGCCATCGGAGACGCCAAGGTTGGCCGGGTGTAAGCTAATGGAGGGGGAACRGTCTTTGTGGACTTTACACTAGAAAACACGACACTACAGTCACGTGTTCGTCTTTACTCCACTGTGCACTCCCAATTTTTATTTTTTTTATTTTCGCATTCCTACCCTTTGGGGAGACTAAGCGGATGACGTTGTTACATGAAAGGAAAGGTGACTGCAGTGACTTCCCAAGTGCTTTTATTTGTCTTCCAGCTCTTTTTTTTTCTTCTTTCTTTCATTCATACTTTCCAGGAAAACACGAGCACTCCGAGAATTCACATGAACCTGCATGTTATTGCTGTAGTTTCTGGCAAAGAACCAAGAATAGCAGAGGTTTTCTGAAAAGGAAGAAATGAGAAACAAATTAAAAGAAATGTTGGGTTCTTTTTTATTTTTAAATTTTTTTTTTGTGGGTTTTGGTTTTGTTTTGCGCCGTGTTGCTCCACTTTGTAAATCAACAACGGAGGTGAACGGGCGGGAGTGCTGCGCTGCTCTGAGCCACATGTTACAGTGGTGGGTCAGTTAAAACATGCATGTGCCGTTACCTTTTCTCCTCTACATCCTGTCGAAATGACRWCGTTGGTTTTATTTCAGGAAAAAAGGGGGTCGTCGTGGAATCTGCACTACAGCTGTTTACTGTTAACTCAGCCGTTACTGTAAGGAAGTTAGCTTCAGTGTTGAAATAAAATCAGTGTTAACTTACTGAAGGTCACTACTTGAGAACGAGCAGTTTATTGGGTCTTTGTTGACTTTTTTTTTAAATCTAGTGCTTTTATATAAAGGTGATGTGACGTCTGCAGTATTAAAGGGGTTGTAACAGGTTGGAGTGGTTGGGAGAAAAAACCCTGGATTTTCTTATTTTACATTCCTTTGATTTGATTTATTCTGTCGGTAAAATGGACAAAATGACTTCYGTCGTGTTTTTGTCATTTGTGTTGATCGCTTAAAGGAAACAAACCGTCTTCGACTACTTTGTTTAGGTAAACACATGGTTAAAAAGTTTTTTTTT